GTGTGTGTGTGTGTGTGTGTGTGTGTGTGTGTGTGTGTGTGTTGTGTGTGTGTGTGTGCGCGCGCGCGCGCGCGCGCATCCGTGTGTATATATATGTGTGTGTGTATAGTTATATATATATATATATATATATATATATATATATATATATATATTATATATATATATATATATTATGTGTGTGTGTGTGTGTGTGTGTGTGTGTGTGTGTGTGTATGTGTGCGTGTGTGTGTGAGAGAGAGAGAGAGAGTGTGCGTGTGTGTGTGTGTGTGGGACTTCGTATTTTGCCATGATAATTGACCTACAAAAACTATATATTGTCCACGATCTCCTATGCAGTGAAATTACGCATGCGTGAAAATAATAATAGAGTCCTATTATTCAAATTACGCATGCGTGAAAATTATCCCACAAAGCACAAGCTTGTATGACGCCAATGATGAATACAGATACTAGATTAATACACCAAAGATGTCATTACTAATATAATAAACACAAATACCGTCATTCACTAATCATTATACTGAATTTCCCCATAAATTTATTTTGTTAAAGATTTTCCCATAATCATTAAGAATATAAGTTAATATTTTAACATGTATCCTACACGAGCAAAGAGTGTTACACTGCAGTATGCCTTATGCATTATCAAAAGCTATATCCTTTGCAACGGAGTGGTCACACGCTGATCCGGACCATCTGTCGGTAATCCAAGAACCGTCTTTTAAAGGGATTATGACCTTTGTCACTTTTTTTTTCTTTCTTTCTTTCACATCACAGTTTAAATGACTCTGTGCATTTACAAGGCTACTGATTCGAAAGTGTTCGGGAAAATAATATCAAACAGGATTACAATGAATTTGGAAAAAAAAATTCTGCATATAAGACGTCTCTGTGTGGAAAGAGGAGAAGAATACTAGATAAACATTCCTTGAAAATGACACCAGTATACATAAAATGAACATGCACTGAAGCGTGAAGTTTCTACTTAGGGGAAAATACGTGTACAAAGCATAAAATTTATGTCAAAAGTATGCTACATAAATAATACGCAAATCATGATAGTAACTGGGAAAATAATGATGATGATGATGATAATAATAATAAAATGATAATAATAATAATAGTAATAATAATATAAAATATGTAGCGTTTAGGAAGCGTAGTATACAAAACAAAAACAAAAAAAAATGTAAAATGAACAGAACAAAGCTATATTTACACACAAGATAAACTCAACTCAGTGTATTGTTACAAAAATATATTGAATAAAAGTAACAAAACGGAAAGTTCATATTGCAAAACCAGTTCAAACAAATTCATATATGTCATACAAAAGAACCGTTCATTGTGTACATGGTATTTCTGCATATCTGTATGTATTACTTTGTTGTTTTATCAGAGGTCTCATCGCCCTAACAAAATGGAAGGTAATTTTAAGCCAAGCGTCGTTCCGTCCATTGCTTTAGTTTATTTTTGAAGAATTAGTGAAGTTATTAAAATGAATATTCTAAAAACAAAACTTATGTTATAGAACTTATAGCAAAGTAACATAGAAAACACGCAATGTACAGACTAGATTTATCGAAATAAGTCACTTACTTCAATAAATCTAGTTTGTGCATTGTGGGTTTTCTACCATAATATTAACACGGTAGAGTGTTTTCCATTCATTCAAAATACCATATTTTAAAGACTGTTGTAAGTGATGTCGGCCTGTATATCATAAATAATTCGTTATTATATTTATCTTCTTTTTTCGCATAATGCAGTCTTTCCTGAGTCTTGGCACTTCCTTAACTAATTCGTTATTAACTATTTTTTTCTAAAGAAGGAATTTTCTTCTCTTGCATTTAGAAGTAAAGCTAACCGAAAGAAACAGACAGATTGTTTATATATGTGAAGGAGGTTATTTGAGTCAATATACATCCATTCATGATTTCTATTACACCTTTTTATCTGCCTTATGCAATTTTACAGCGTTTATTGTCTGATACAGAACGCATTAGAGTGTTTGTTTTATGTTATGTTTAGAAAGTTCAGGGAGTTTTGCATTTGATGAAACAATTTCTTACCAAATCAATTATCTCATATATGTTCGCTATAAAATGCTACTGGTCTTGACATATGATCAGTAATAGCCCAACAGTAATCTCAAGACCGGGACCTTACACACCAACAAAACATCAGCTTACAGCACCACATACAATGCGTATCAGTAAATAGATTATGCTGATATTCATGAACTAACCGGTATCTTCACCAGGATCATGCTTTCCTGTTTTATTTGATGTCCACAAAACCTTGTCACCGGTAGTGAACAATCTCCTTATCTATGCCCGTTCATATAAATAAATATTGAATCCAGTAAAACTGCTCTGAAGAAGCCTGCAATAAATTGGTCTAATGTCCACTAGCCAAGTCCAATAATAAATGAAAAACTAATCGGGGACATTATATAAAAAATTGTTCAGGGCACAAGGAGTTCGGATGTCAGTATTTATCATTAATGCCTGAAAAGCAATCATACATTTCCACTACGTATGGCGGAAATGGAGAGAGTCCAAGATCATATCAGTTGAAGGGAAAACACAAGGTGATCCAGTAGTTTATGACAATAACTACTCCTGCGAGTATCAGTTTCCAAAACGTGTGACACTAACGTTAAATACATAACATATACCGATACTCTAATAGACGAGGTAAAAATAAAAGACTGGAAATTCGGTCAGACTTAGTACCTTAACAAGATCCCCAAACAGGTTACTTTTCAAATAAGCCTTATTTGCAACCGAGAATATTACTAAACTGCCTTACAATAGCTGTAGGCAGCAAAATCGAAGTAGCAAATACTGCCTTGTAATATTAAGGTGTTGTCACCGGGTCCACATAATTCAAAGCAAAGTATGCAAAACGAAAGAAAGAAAGAAAGAAAAAAAAGACAGTGGGCTGGATAGAATAATTTATACCCTTAAAGTTTTAGTGCTAACAGAACCCAACGTTGCCTAAGTAACATGCACCCATGTACTCAAATATCGCTGCAAATCCTGATGATAACAGTCTTAAACGCAGCTCAGTTGTTTCAACCGCTTAAGGATGTCATAATGGATATGTTCACCCCAGCTCTCTCAAAAAAATGGAAGTGTACCGCCCACGAGAGACGTAATGGGGCTACCACCACGCCTGAGGGAGAAGGGCATCAGTCAGTGAACCTGGTTGCAGTAGTGTTGGTAGTAGAAATAGTAGTAGTAGTATAGTAGTAATATATAAGTAGTAGTAGTATAGTAGTAATAGAATAGTAGTAGTAGTGGTCTTGTATAGTAGTTGTAGTACGAGTATAATAGTACTATAGTAGTAATAATAGTAGAAGTAGTTATAGAAATAGTAGTAGTAGAAGAAATAGTAGTAGTAGTAGTGGCAGTTGTAAAAGTAGTAGAATCTGTTGTAGTAGTAGTAGTAGAAGTAGCAGTAGTAGCAGTAACAGTAACAGTAGTAGTAGTAGTAGAACTAGTAGTTGTAGTAGCAGTAGTAGTAGAAGTAGTAGCAGCAGCAGTAGTAGTAGCAGTAGTAGAAGCAGCAGTAGTAGTAGCAGCAGCAGTAGTAGTAGTAGCAGTAGTGCAGCAGCAGTAGTAGTAGTAGTAGTAGCAGGAGCAAAGATAACCGCAAGACGGGCATCGCAAATCGAGAGAGCCCAGTCCAAAGAGTATATCATAACCCTTTATCACTGAACACCAGCTCTGATAACTCACATTGTCTGCCAGGATGCAACACGTGAAACTGACTTGAGTAAACAGCAAGGAATCAACCACGAACCATTACAGCAAAAAATTCTACAAGAAAATGTTCATGATGTTACAGAAAAACAAACTCTATCGCCCTTGGAAGACTATGAACTGACCTAGCAAACGACAAACATCGAATGCAGTACGATTCGACCCAGGCGCTTGGGAACCATGAACAGGAGGACGGAGAGCCTTCTGCCTTTTTCGACGTCTGAATCTTCGGGTTTCACGGCGACATCAAATATGATTTGAGTTTATTAGGATATACATATTATTTATGATTTTAATTTACCAGGAATTGCATAAGCGAGTATGCTTGTGGTAAATATATCAACTATATATGTGCTGTACTTTTAACACATATATTGTCAAGTGTTTTGTATTTCCTTAAAATCTATGTGGCGGAATGAAATTGTATTTGCAATCAACGCCATTTGTTGGCCCCGACTTTGACCAATAAAATGGATAATTTCTGCCATTTCTTCGGGATTTTCAAAACTACCTTTTAAAATCCATAAAAATAGTTCTGTCACTCCATGTCTGAATAGAGAATATACCATTGCTATATATTTACTCTCTACCATTGTACGATTTATCATGTTACCAAATACAAATAAAGAAAAGACACCTTCAAATCTAAATAAAATGTTTTGTGTCTAGAAATATTCCACAATCAGTTTCTTCTTTATTAAGTAAAAGTAGTTCCAGTTATTACAAGTAAAGGTATAAGTCTAAATAAAACACATAATGTCAACAAAAAGTCCCCGAAAATTAAATACTCTTGTATGATTTAAGTATTAGCTTTTTATTCTGTACAAAAAAGAAAAAAGAGAAAACTTTTTACATTAAATTAAACACTGGATGTCGACAGAAGTTTCCCGGAAATCACGGTGAGGATAACGGCATAGTACGTTGTCGCCCTTCTTGTCTTTCTTTTATTTCTGAAGGCTTTTCAAAGGTACTTAATGATATCCATGAGAACAAATGTTTTTTTCATTCACTATTTGATATATATTCCTATGTTAAACTGTATATAAAGAACATCGACAATTTCATAACTAAATAAAGAAACTTATTGGTAGAAGCATCTCGAAAATAGTTTTTCCCTTTCTATCGTAAACCTTTTAATTTCTCATTTATCATACATCAACACAAAATCTTAACATCAAAGGAAAGTGATTGATGTCGGCAGAAATTTCCCGAAAATCGCGGTGATAACAACGCTTAGTGTACACACATGATCCAATGAGCTAAGACAACTCGCCCAAGGACCCACACTTTTATCACGTTTTCTTCCCCTTTCCTTCCGTTTTTGTCAAGCCCATGGATCACAGGTGCCGGAAGAGAGTGAGAGAAGCCAAAAAGAAAGCGAGACCAGGTGATATGCCCATAGATAGTGTTGAAAACGGCTAAGAAGTTGCAGCTGAGGACGATCGGTTTGAACCTCCATCCTATAGCTGAGCAAAGTCACGTAGACTCACATGTTACTTCCTTTGTAATGATTATTGGGAATTGGGTGGTTTTGGTCGGCTCTATTCACTTCCTTTGTTTATGAAAATTCGGGTTTTGTTATTCTTTTAGATTTTATGGGAAATGTATAGGTATTGTTTATATTACATCCAATTCAGGGAGATGGTCCTCACGTCAGCTTTTGTTTATATATATTTCTGGAGGGAAATGCCTCTCAGCAAGCCGGTCTTTAGCTCATATCAAGCTCAAGCATCTAAATTAACATGTATAGGGGATATCCACAAATATACTATGAATGGCTGTGAATGCATGTCATAATTTGTCAGAAACATAACTCCTCCATAGTTTGTATGGGGGATATGGTTTTGAAATTCTTGGCAGAAGGACCCTTAAGGTTCCAAATTTTTCATGTAGATAGGGATCCACTGAAGATGCATTCACTCAGTTTCCAGATTAATGGCTCCTAAATGAATGGTGTAAGTTTCAAAATTAGGTCTACACCTTAAATCCTATCAGTTAATCTTTATGGTATGGACGTAATAATTTAGGGCAAATTGAATATGATGTTCTTGTAGAAGACAAAAAATTGCAGTCAACAGTACAAGAAATTATCTGTCGACACAGCAGTGCCATAAGTCAAGGAAAAAGCTCAGGGGAAGGGATGCTCTCGGCCAAAGTTCACTCAGTGCTCCCGAGTTTCAGCTTTGTCTTGCTGTACGTACTGAAGTGCTTGAAGACAGTATTTCCCATGGGGTATTGTGGAGCAGAGCGCCCCATCAACTTTCCCATTTTGGGCACGCTCAGTCATGGCAATTTAGATTGATGAATAATTTTTTGGGCATGGAGTTGGGATTTAGTCTTGGGCGAGTGCGTCCATACTCAAAAGAATTACCAACCTATTGATTTTAGTGTTGGACTCCTATTGATGTCTGCTAGCCAGGCATATCAGAAATAGTTGGTAATTTAATAAATAAACACAGTACAAAAGTCCAGCAACTTGAGGAACCAAGTACAGTGAGGAATATTTACTTCAAGTAGCTGTTCTTTCTGCTTGGTTTTGAAGTTAAACAGTATATTTTGAAGCCGAAAAGAAGTTTCCGGGCGGCTACAAAATCAGCACGCGGGGCTGGCACGGACTCTGCCTGCTGCTGAGTTGGAGCGTGAGCCCCAGTACAGCATCACACTGGCAGGATGCCCGGCATTTATTTTTATTCTTTTTTTTTTTTTTTTTTTTTTCGGGTCTCATGTGGGACACCTATCATAAGTGAGTTAAACATCAATTAAAATCACTATAAATGCATACTAGACATGATAAGGAATCCATTGATACCAATTTCATTGTATTTTGTGTTCTCATTGTAGAAAATTCCTGTGAGTAGGTGTGAATATATATGTGAACAATAGATCTGTGAATCCTAAGACAATTGTTCTGGATGAGATCAGACATTAAGGAGCTATTTGATATAGAATAACAATTAGCCTAAGGACATGTCATATTTCAAGTACATAGTCAAAAAGTAGCCTTTTCATTACACCAAATATTAGCAGGCCAGATACTCTGAAAAGTCGAAGTTTACTCAGAGCGATTCATTGGGAGATAGCAGACACATCCAGTGATTTTATTATGTCTGTGATTTATCAAATAAGGAATCTGTTATATATGTTTGGGAAGTTAGTTAAATTTGCAAGTGTTAGAAGGGTAGGGACCACTGTTTTTTTATTATATAAAAAGCTTTATTGTTTGCCATTTGCAGTAGCAGTGTAATAGATGAAAAATGACTTAGTTTATCAGTCTGTTTTTCCCCATAACTGTTTAGTTAACTGGTGTGGATAATGACTTTTTAAAGTTATAAATTAACATATGTATATGTATTTACAAGAAAAAAAGAAAGAGAGGAAAAAGAAAAAGGAAGGAGGCAAGAAAATAAAAGGATGAGAGAACAGGGACAGAAGGGGAAGGAGAGGAATGTGAGCACTTTTTAATTTGTATATTATCAGGACTCCCATATTATCCTGTTAGATAAATTTCAGCTTATATTATGTTTCAAATGGTTTCTAAAGGAAACCATTTGGTGGATGTCAAAATCTTGGATAGATTTGTGTGCTTTGTGTATTTTTCTGAACGAAAGTAGAACAAAGATAAATGCATGTAGCTGTAAAAAAGAAATTTGACCTGTTTGAATATGCTGTCAAATTTGTATGCAGAAAACTATACTTCATATGTTTACTTGCTCTAGCCAAAGTATTTTTGTGTATTCCATACAATATGTTGTATGTGACCATCAGAGTATTTATGAATAATGTTTTTCCTAATGGGTGTTTTTACTTTCAGAATTATGTTTAGAAAAGGGCGTGTGGACAAAACATGACTACAAGAACAAGTTTGACTGCTCTATAGACATTGTTCCAGATACAGTAGAACGCATTCATGCAAATGAAGTTCCAACTGAAGAGTTCATTGAGCGGTTTGAGAAACCTTACAAACCAGTTGTGATTGAGGGAGTCACAGATAACTGGAAGGCACGATATAAATGGACCTTAGAGGTACAGCAGGCATCTGAGTATGGCAATTATTGTATATAGATATATATTTTTTATGGTTGACATCGAGGTAGGAGAGAAAATATTAATGATTTATGATATAATTAAAATAAAAATCATAATTATAGAATATATATTTTTACAATTATATGATGTGGCATTAAATTGATTGAATCCAAAATGTTATCATATCAGATAGTATAGTGAAAAGTTTTGTGAGTTAATTATATCATTGTTCATTTACACCTTTTACAGAGGCTATACAAGAAGTACAGAAATCAGAAATTCAAGTGTGGAGAAGATAATGAAGGCTACAGTGTAAAGATGAAGATGAAGTATTACATTGAATATATGAAGACAACAGATGATGATAGTCCACTCTATATATTTGATAGCAGTTTTGGTGAGGTGAGAACCCTTTTCTGGGTATTTGGTTATTTTAAAGTTGAAATGTTATTGTAGTACCTTTAGGATTTCAGTTTTCAATGTATTGCATTTTATCTATCCATGAATTTTCCTCTCTATTACTCTATAATCCTTGTGTCTATAATACTTTTGATTGTGAATTAATGATACACAATTAATGTACTGCGTCACTTTCAGCATGTCCGTCGTAAAAAGCTTCTAGAAGATTATGATGTACCGAAATATTTTCGAGATGATTTATTTAAGTATGCTGGTGAAGATAGACGCCCCCCTTATCGCTGGTTTGTCATGGGCCCTGCTCGTTCAGGGACGGGCATTCATATAGACCCTTTAGGAACTAGTGCTTGGAATACACTTCTCCGTGGTCACAAAAGGTGAGTGAGCTGGAGAATTTCAGGGGTAGAAATTTATTAGAGGATAAAAAATCCTTTGTATTTCTCTTTATTCAAGCCTTTTCAATACTACTACCAGTATATCTGTAAACTTTATGGATAATTATAACAAGAATGAGTTAAAGGCAGGGATAATTATGCAGAAAAGGACCATATACAAGTGTAAATAGACCTCCACCACATATATTTTGGGTTGGACTGGTTCCTGTGGGTAGTTAGAACAGAGATCTACAAGAATTTAATTGTACTGAACTGAATAGTATTGTTTTATGTGTGTTCTTTACAACTGTTACATTAGTTTTTCGCTGCCTCATGTTTTGGATAAGTAAAAAAAAAAAAAGAAGTACTCAACTTCTTATAATCTCTTGGATTGTTTTTACAAGATTTTTTGGATTGGATTATTTAAAAACTATCAGAAGTTTATGAGAAGAAATCTGCAATGGGTTGTAGCGACTCAAATTATTACATACTGTATGTTATGCCCGTACATTTCTAATATTTTACATCTTTCCAACAGATGGTGCATGTTTCCCACAGATACTCCCAAGGAACTTATTAAGGTGACTTCTGCAGAAGGAGGGAAGCAAGTAGATGAAGCTATAACATGGTTCTCCATTATTTATCCCCGTACGAAACTTCCAAGTTGGCCCGAGAAATTTAAGCCGGTATGAGACAGATGTTGGTAGCTCCTGTGGTATATGAATGTATATCTTACTTCATATCAGTGCACTTGAATTTTGCATGTATTTAAGAATGAGCTATGATATAGGAAAGCTTAAGGTTGGAGAGTGTATTTGTAATCTATCCAATGGCAGAAAAAGTATTCTAAATGATAACTGCAGACTCAAAGATAACCTAAGGTAATTCCCTTAAAAGTACATAGAGAAAAATCATTTTAGCTATAAAGAATACTATAGGAAGGGGTGATGCAAAAGGCCAACAGACCTATACTATTAATATTAGTGGTTCCTAACTGATTAGTCACAACTCAGTAGGGGAAGGGGTTGTGAAGCTGTGGGGAAAATCTTGCTGGCAAGTTTGCTAGGTGTTTCAGTGTTCATAACAAGAATATACCATGCAATACAGTAATCTATATCTTCATGGATTTCTTTATTGCAGTTACATAGAGATATCTGTATACTTTTGTCTTTAGCCTAAAAATACAGTTACAAAATTAAATATGGAATGCCTGATGTAAAGAGGTGGATGTCAGAGGTTTGAAGAAGGGGTCATAAGTGTAAAAAAAAATTGGCACCATTGACTAATTTTCTTAAAGAATAAGTTTGTAGATCACCCAGGGGATTTACTCTCAGTGAAGGATCAATCTCTCTCTCTCCCTCTCCCTCTCCCTCCCCTCCCCTCCCTCCCTCTAGCAAGCAGTCTTAGGTTAATGAGGTCCTAGATTCAAGAATTACCACAAGTTTTGTATGAATATGAAATTACCCTTCCAACAGTTAGAGAACCTTGTGCCAAGGTTTGAGGGGAAAAAAATTTCCTCTTTAGTCAGCCTTTTCTCATTTGATCATGGAAACTACACACTTGATTTGTTCTGGACTGAAGGCCACCAAATTCATCCTGTTTCCGTTCTAACCTACAAGTAAATTTTGTAGAAATTTGTTTTGAGCAGTATGGATAGATGATTATGTTTATAAGATGGAAGAATGCAGGGACACATTGTATATAGAATTCAAAATACTCTCTTTGATAACGACTTGAACCTTGCTGTCATACTCTAGGGTCAGTATATAAGGACTTTCAGTGAAGCCAGTCCAGATTCTAGTGAGATGATCCTTTTAGTGGGTTGCGTAGTGTTGTTTTAGTACAGCTCATTTTGCTAATCTCCCCCCCCCCCTTGTCAAGTTGTTAAGATAGACCATATGGTTTTGTTTTTGCAAAATTGGAATATTATTTTGAAATTCAATTCTTAGTTTATTCATTCATATTTAATTTGTGATTATATTCCTGTATTTGTCATTTTCCAGCTGGAGTTGGTGCAGCATCCTGGTGAAACAGTATTTGTGCCTGGAGGGTGGTGGCATGTTGTCATTAACCTTGACAATACCATTGCCATCACTCAGAACTTTGCTTCATGCACAAACTTCCCTGTTGTGTGGCACAAGACTGTGCGGGGCCGTCCAAAGCTTTCCAAAAAGTGGCTTCGAATCTTAAGGGTAAATTGAGCGGTGTTCATTGAGCGTCCATGAGTTACTGTTCTTGAAAGTATTGGCTTACTTATATTATTTTGTGCCATATTATTATTTAATTATATATGCAACTTGTTTGGGTTATGATCACCATAATCATTATTTCCTTCATCTCTCATGTCCAGGAGAAGAAGCCAGACCTAGCAGCTGTAGCAGATTCAATTGATATGAGCAAAAGCTGTGGAATGGCATCTGACTCCTCATCAGATTCCTCTTCATCGTCTTCCTCATCTTCTGATGAATCCTCATCCTCTGAGAGTGTCTCAGACAGTGGGCAGGAGAGCTTACCAGAACATAAAAAGAAGAGGTAAGCGTAGCTCTCTCAAGCTTCTGTTCTTGACTTTTAATTTTTCTCTAGTTTGTCAGGATGTTCAGTTTTATTTGAATTTAGATGTTTGATATTAGATAATGCAATTCTATAATCTGTATCATTCATGATTATTATTAAAGATATTACTATTATTATTTATTTTTACTTTTGGTCAAAGAAAGATGCTGTCAATTAGGTTGTAGAACCTAACAGACAAGCATATTTTGTAAATGGCCAAATATTTTATTAGCATTAACATGATACTTCAAGCTTGTGATTTCATCACCTGCCAGATTTTACTTATTTATTTAATATCTGCACAGGAGGAAGACACACAACTCTCCTCCGAGGTCTTGAGGAAGCCAGTCCAGCAGCACTCTTGAAGAGGGTGCTGCTGCTTCCAACTCTCCACTCCCCTCTTTCCTTCCAACACCACCACCAAGGAATGTTTCTCCAGCATGTGTCATGTCTGCTTGTAATGCACATTGGTTCTCACCTCGCATTCTAGGCATACAACAAAGACATTGATACGATGAATTCTCAGAGAGCATGTAGGATATACATATATATTTATATTACGGTCCACATTTTTTACTTTTTTATTGTATTACCCCAGAGCTTATATACCATCGGAATAATGTATACTATGTATTTGATGAAAACTTTTAAGTGGAAGTATTAGAACAGAAAAAAGGGTAAAAATATTTCCTGAAACACTGGATGATAGATCAGATGTTTTGATTTATATGTCTTGATTGCTTATGTCAGCAAAAGAAATAAATCATAATAAAAAAATAATAAAATACACAAAATGGCAAAAAAAAAAAAAAAAAAATGACTTGAAGGTATCAGTTCCAGATAGTAGACATAGACCAGTGATATTTTGATTACTATTATTGTTATTTTTATTATAATTATTATTTTATTTTATTAATTTTGCATTTTGTTTTTACAATAACTTAAATTTAATAATTTATTTTTTGAATTTTGCCAATGAATGTGTTACCGGCAAACTATACATGAAGTCATTTTTTGTAACAATGGTGAACCCTAATACAACTGTCATATTGATAAAATAATTTAATTTCCCCCTTAAATGAATTAAATGATTGTTCAATTTGGTGCTATTTAACTTGATAATTGGCACATGTTTCAGTTGCAAGTTTAACCTCTTAAGAAAGTTCCCCCTTAAATGAATTAAATGATTGTTCAATTTGGTGCTCCCTGTAAACTTGTATTAGCACATTTACAGTTGTCAGATAAACAAATATTCAGAAAGTTTTGTGTTTAGAGTTTATCCTCTTAAGTAAAAATGTGATTGTATTCAGTTGCAGGATGACCAGATATAAGAAAAATAAAAAGGGCTGCCAAAGACAGATTGGTGCAGGATGTTAAACATTGCAGTTTGCAGTAGCTACTTTGAAGATGTTGGTGCTGTTCAGGCCGGGATCCAGCTAAGGAAAATTTGTGCAAAAATGAAATGCATAATACATTTATTTATCCTGTTTATCACCATATGTAGTTAGATCTCGTGCAACTACATTCAAGTCTTACTCGGTTTCTAGACTGTCTATCACCAAAGGCAGAACATCCAAGATGTAAAATATATACTCGAATGCCAACCCTACAAAAACATGGAGGGGGAAAGGCAGAGAGAGACATAAATATACAGTTGTCATGTGTTTATACTGTATATCAGGAGATAAAAAGGCTAGTGCTTCTTATGGCTATATGTTATTTCCTCACAATGTGCTTTTTTACAGGAATAAAAAATTGTTCCTTTATTTTAAAGAACATGATCAACTATTAAAATTGTTTTTTGCTTACCTTAAAGTGAAAAAGAATGTAGAATATGTTGTTACATATATATTGTTGGATGTTAGGTGCAGTTTGAGATCTTGGAAAATAAAATTACCCAAATTATTTCTTTATTGTAGAAATTTGAACAAACTTTAAAAATGTAAATGAATCTTAAATTTTTCACAAAGAATGGTATCTAGGTTTTAAACCAAACACATAGTGATAATTACGAGTTACGTGTAAGATGGTGCATATAAACACTATATCAAAAATTATACTATTACAACACCTTTTCAACCAAACTACCAATTCTAAGGAGGTAATGAATGCAGAAACCAAGTCTTACTATCAAAGAGACCTACTTATGAAAATTGACATGGAAGGTGACCTTGGAGATGATGATAAACTATTTCTCTTATCAGTCCCAACCCCGTTTATAATCTAATATTAGAGGAGACTGGTTTTATGTTGATTTACTGGGCACTCATTTCCTCTCTCTCTCTCACTCTCTCTCTCTCTCTATATATATATATGTATGTATATATATAAATATATATACATATATATATATTATACATAATACACATACATGTATGTATATGTATTTTATATAAATATATATGACTATACAAATATATATTTATAAATAAATATATACATATACAAATAATAAATATATATATTATAATAATTATATAATATATATATAATATATTATATATATATATATATATATATATATATATATACATACACATACATGTATATTATATATATAATATGAAAATATAAAAAAAAAAAAATCATATATACATATATAATTTTTACACACACACACACACACACACACACACACACACACACACACACACACACACACATATATATATTATATATAGTATATACTATATATATATATATATAGTACTATATAATATATTATTATATAATATAATATATATAATATATATATATATATATATATAATATATATATATATAATATATATATAATATATATAATATATATATATATATAATTTATAATATATATATATATAAATTATATTATATATTAGTATATATATAATAGACGTATATAGTATATATGCTATATATATATAATTGTGCTATGTAAATAATATATATATATATTATATATATAATAATACTATTATATACTATATTTTATATATATGTAGTATATATATATATAATATTGCATATAAATATATACATATATATATATACTATATATATATATATATATATATATATTATATATATATATACCTATATATAGGTACATTTGTGGTGTGGTGGTGTGGTGTGT